TTCTTCTCGGTGATGCCCAACCATAGCACAAGAGAAAGCAGGCAGGAACTGATGCATACAGAGTTCCACCTGAACTGAGCAAGAACTTCTTTCCCGTGCACGGGAACAGACACCAGGGAGGGTGTGGAGTGTCCTCACTGGAGATATTCCAGAATGCTCTGGATGCAATCCTGTGCCACGTGCCCCAGGATCRCCCTCCTTGAGCAGGGAGAAGGAASCAGGCSACCCCACTGTGTTTCCTATCCCCTGACCCATCGTGTGAGTCTGGGAGCAGGAGACCCCAGCCCGGTCCCTGCACACGAGGTCCCCGCGTGGCTCGGGGACACTGCCCTGTCCCTGCCTTGGCACAGGAGGGGAGGACAGGGCTGATAACAGGTGGTGAGGACACCAAAGCAGGGCCAGGCACTGCCAGCGCCTCTCCSACTTGTCATTGACCTTCAGCGGCTTGTTCTGTAGAGGGACTATGGTTTAAACAACCACCCCTCTTCCTTTTTTTCACGTTTTGTGTTTTATTTAAACTCTGTGGCATTACAGGTGCTGAAATTTAAATGGAATGGGTAACACAGGTTTAAATCCTAATGCTGCTGGATCTGGTGAACTGTGCAGGCTGATCCTGCTGGAGGTGCCAGGGGGTACAAAAGCCCAAGGATCTGCACAGAAGTGGGGACAGAACAGTTCTCTGTTCCAAATACAGATAATTTCATTTTCATCAAGGCAGTGGTTAGAAGATGTGAGACTGTGCAAGAAACTACACTGATCTGGGAGCACCTGGTGGGATGTGTGCCCACTGCAAGCAATAATTACCCAGCCAGAAAATCCAATCTGAAGCTTTGTAGTTAATAAAATTATTAGGGGAACAGACTATATTCTCACATAAATTTGGAGAATTTGGGCATGGACACTTTTATTCTTACCTCTGTAGACATAAATATGTAGATGTCTTTTATATGAAGAATCTCCCTCTGGTTAAATATTTAATGAGGGAGCTAAAAGAGAAGGGGTTTTGGTGATCTCAGTGCTAAATCCCAGCTCCTGCAGAAGTGAGGGGGAGTGCTTGTCTTGCTGAGGGGCTGGTCCCAAATCACTGATAATAACTACATACAGAGCTTACAAAACCAGGGGATTACGACAGGTGCTGAGTTCATCTGGCTGCTGTTCCCAGAGCTCCAGGCGTGCTAAAACCTGCACCTGCACACTGCCTGGCTGCCCTGCCCAGCACATCCATCCAGGGACAAGCACTGTCCAAACACTGCTGCAGGAAGAGTTGCTTCAYACAATGAAATCCTGCAGCAGCTCTTCCATTCAAGGGCAAACCGAGGCACGAACACGTGAAAAAGAACATGTTAAATATATTAAGCTTAAAAATCCAGCATGAAATTTARCTAATAATARTAGTGGTGGAGTCCCCAYCCCTGGAGGTGTCCAAGGAGWGCCTGGACATGGCACTCAGTGCTCTGGGYTGGGTGACAAGGTGGGGATYRAGGTTGGACTCAATGATCTTGGAGGYCTTTTCYAACCTAAATGATGCTGRAATTCAAGTTTGGGCAGGAATAACCTGTGTTTTAATAGGAGCACATTGTTTCACAGAGTTCAGACACACTTTCCAACAGATTTTTTGGGGTTTTCTTGAACCATAACCACTTCTGCTTTGGAGGAGGGGTGGTAAATGCACGTCATTTTCCCGTCATGCTCCAAAACTGGATTCAGTTACTTACTCTCATTCCAAGACTTGCAAGCACGTGCACTGTGAACTCATGCTACTCTGTTTTCTCAAAAAAAAGGAAGTTTAACCTTAGTTAACAAACTCAAAAAAATAAGGGGAAATGATTTTACCTTTCGTGACACCAAATGCGGGCTCCACCTCTCTTGCCTGGGCTCTGATGACATCCCCARTGCAAACACAGGACAGATCATCCCAGGTGAGGGGGTTGGTGACACTTTCAGCCTGGCACCACTCATGCCCTGGCAGCCAAGGAACAGAGACAAAGGTCAGATCACTTTTTAAAGCAAAATCATGGCTTAGCTGTTCAAAAAAAAAAAAAGTTACAGAGAATTTTAAACCTTAGAAATGGGATGTGAATCTTCTCAATGCTCAATCTGCCTGTGCTCAATCTGTGCAAAGGAAATCTGTTTTACACCACCTGGTAGATTGTAAATATTAAATATTTATACTAAAATCCATCCCTACCGACCATGAATATCTGAACTAAACAGGCATGCAGAATAAATACAGACAYGCCAGCCCTCGAGGCTCCATTTGCTCTTGTTTTAAACACAAACACCTTAAATAATATCAACGCTCATGAGAAAGTTTTCAGGATTCTCTGGAGTCTCAGCCACTTGAAATGTCAGCGGCTATTTGAGATTGAACAGAAATATTTCATCCTTCCGTGCTCGGGGACACAAACGTGTGGTTACAGAGTGTTCCAAAGCCCGAAGCTCTGGAGGAAAAGGTGATTTCCACCGCCACCGTGTGTCCGAGGCAGAAAACGCCGACTTCCCCAAAAAATCCACCCACTCAGGAGCCATCAGGGGTCTGTGGCTTCAGCTCAGGTCAGCTAGGAGACGTCGTGTCACTAAAACATTGGTCTGAAAAACTTCTAGGACTCCACAGATTGTTCCTCATGAATATATTTTCATTCCCGTGCCACAGGTGTAACAGAAAGACCCTTAATACTGAAATACCCAAAGCCACTATCCCTAAACCTAACCCTAACCCTAACCCATAGAAAGCTGCAGGTCTTAGAACAGCAATTTTACCTTGCAAATGTATCACCTTTCCTGGGAACAGCTGCTGAGAAAACTCCCATATGCTGATTCCTTCCATTAACCACCCAGAGTTCTAATTCCCAGACACAGGAAAAACCTGTTAGCAGAAGCAATAAATATTTCATTGACATTCCAAACTCTGCCTCTCCCAAATTCTGCATTTTTTTCCCATAATTTTTCACATGCACKTGGAGCCCGGGCAAAAGGAAAAGGAAATAATCACCAGTATTTTTAATCTTGTTGGTAAAGGAGCAGAGATGGACAAGGGGGAATGGCTTCACACTGGCACAGAGCAGGATTAGATGAGATAGTGGGAATTGTTCCCTGTGAGGGTGGGCAGGCCCTGGCACAGAGTGACCAGAGAAGCTGTGGCTGTTCCATCCCTGGCAGTGCCAAGGCCAGGCTGGACAGGGCTTGGAGCACCCTGGGACAGTGAAAGGTGTCCCTGCCATGGCAGGGGTGGCACTGGGTGATCCCGTTCGGTACCTGCTGAGGGCAGGAAGGTGGGACCCTCTGGAGTTAGCCAGAGCCGCCTGGACCCTCCCGGGGTCACTCAAGGTCCCCAGGGGTCACTCAGAGCCTCCTGGACCTTCCCCGGGTCACTCAAAGTCCCCACGGGTCACTCAGGTTCCCCCGGCTGGGCCCGGACCTTCTTGGGGTCACTCAGGGCCCCCCGGACCCTTCCCGGGTCATTCAGGGTCCCCCAGACCCTCCCCGGGTCATTCAGGGTCCCCCGGAGTCACTCAGAGCCTCCCGGACCTTCCGGGGTCACTCAGGGTCCCCAGGGGTCACTCAAGAGTCCCCCGGACCCTCCTCGGGTCATGCAGGGTCCCCCGGGGTCACTCACGGCTCCCGAACCTTGCCGGGGTCACTCAGGGTCCCCAGGGGTCATTCAGAGTCCCCCGGACCTTCCCGGGGTCACCCAGAGCCCCTCAGACCCTCCCCGGGTCACTCAGGGCCCCCCGGGATCACTCAGTACCCCCCGGGATCGCTCAGTGTCCCCCGGGATCGCTCAGGGCCCCCCGGGATCGCTCAGTGTCCCCGGGATCGCTCAGTGTCCCCCCGGGATCACTCAGTGCCCCCGGCCGGGATCGCTCAGTGTCCCCCGGGATCGCTCAGTGTCCCCCGGCCGGGATCTCTCAGTGTCCCCTGGGATCGCTCAGTGCCCCCGGGATCTCTCAGTACCCCCGGGATCGCTCAGTGTCCCCCAGGATCGCTCAGTACCCCCGGGATCGCTCGGTGCCCCCGGCCGGGCGCGGTGCCCCCGGGATCGCTCAGCGTCCCCCTGGGATCGCTCAGTGTCCCCCGGGATCGCTCAGTGCCCCCCGGGATCGCTCAGTGTCCCCCAGGATCGCTCAGTACCCCCAGGATCACTCGGTGCCCCCGGGATCTCTCAGTGCCCCCACCCCAGGATCGCTCAGTGCCCCCCGGGATCGCTCAGAGCCCCCCGGGATCGCTC